TGTGTGTGTGTGTGTGTGTGTGTGTGTGTGTGTGTGTGTGTGTGTGTCCTTATGTTACATGTGCACTGAATGGTTAGTTTTTCAATACAAGTGCCTGTTTTTGTACCAAAATTACTATTCTTTCATTCACATTGAGCAATATAAAATGAGCAAACCCTGTATTGATTTAACAAAATAAGGGAAAAAAATAATTGAGCTTGACAATTCATTTACAAAACAGTCTCAACTCAAGGTCCACTTACTGGCTTGTTCCGAAACTTCTGATCTGAAATGGTTTTCATCAGCAGATGAGGTTTGCTCAGTTGTCTTTAAACTGTATGTGTTGAAACTTTCCATTGTTCTGAGCACTTGTATTTCATTTTGGCTTAAGCGTCGAGTTTGACGGTTTATTCTCTTTGTCAACTTCAGTTTAGATTTAAATTAGGAACGGTCTAATCAAAGAATAACTAAACAGGAAGAAGAAGACGACCAGACATTTGTTGCCAACTTTTAGTCTTTTACAGTTCTAAAAGCTCAATGCAACAGATACCTTGATGTCAATTCCAAGAAGGTATATTGAGGTTTTATACCAAGCCCTATAGACCCTTTTTGTGGCAAACGTGGACTTGTCAAAGCAGGAAAAGCACAAGTGGAATTAACATCATTAATGGTGGTTGAATTCTATTTACCTGCCTCAGTTCCATGGCTCTAGTGTTGTTCATGCTGTCTCGCTGTCACACTGACATGGCTGACTGGGTCACTTGAACAGAACTGGGCCGTCATTAATGTTACTATTTCCACCTCTTTTTTTTTCTGCTGTGACAAAATATCTGCCGTGAAAAGGGTCCAGTCCAGACATATAGGCTGACCTGTCAACAACCGCTCACATTCTCCCTGCACATGCTCTTCTGACCGTTGACATTTCCTTTTATCCCGGCTAAACTTCCTCCCACCGCGACCTGCATGTCTGCTGCGTATTTTAAGAGATAACCTCTTCTTATGCCAGTCAGTGGCATAAACGCACTCTCCCTGCTTCTACTCTCTACCCCACGATACACACTGTTCTGACAACACACACTTTCTGTCTCCAAGACCCCCCCCCCCCCCTCCCCCCCCCCCCCCCCCCCCCCCCCCCCCTCTCTCTCTCTCCGGCACACACATATAAATATGTCTATTTGTCAATATTCTTTTTCAACTCTTTGGCCTTATTTTATTATTCAACCACTGTGACCCTGTTTCTAAAATGGACTTCCCTCTCAGCCTCTCTGGGCCTTCACTTTATTGATCTAGTTAGCTCTCTCATTTCTACACCTACCTTAACCTGGTGCCCTTTCTGGTTTGTGTGTGTGTGTGTGTTTGTGTGTGTAAATAGATACAACTCCTTGAAATACTTTCTACATCTTGATATTTATGTAACGGGCTCCAAATATAAAGCACAATTACGTTGACATGAATGATCGCCATTAAACATTCAAATGTATCATCCTTAACAAATGGCCATACACACACACACACACACACACACACACACACACACACA